GGGCCCGGCCCGGCCGGGGCGCGATCGCGGGGCCGCAGGGGCCGCGTGTGTTTCCCGGCGAGATGGACAGGGGGCACAGCTCGCAGGCCTGTGCCGCGTACCTGGTCGGGCCACTGAGCCGCAGTTTCCCTTGCAAAGTGTGGGGAGCGACGCGGCGCGGCTGGGGAAGCCGAAGAAAATCACCGATCTCCGGCAGGAGCGCAGGGCTGGCGCTGTGCCCCTCGGGGCGGAGGAGCGGGGGGAGGCTGGACGGGGCGCCTGTGAGTCTCCCGCCCGGCTTCCGCCGCCCCCCGCCAGGGGAGGACACCGGGAGGCGGCGGGGAGGTCTTCGCGGTTGTCTGGTTATTTATTTTATCAGTAAAAAGCCAGCGCCGTTCGCTGAGGTGGCTTTTGCCAGCCAGCGTGGGCTGGGACGACACAACGTTCACGCCTTTGCCTGTTTATTTTTTTTTTTAACGAAAGATGAAACCCAATGTCTTCACAGTGTGCTAGAGCACCTTGCCGGCCCTTTTTTATGTCGAGGCAGGTTCCTAAGTTTTCCTGGCCGGGCTCGTTGAACTTTTCTGGTAATTCTTCAACTTCACCCTTTGAGGGCGCCGAGATTACAGACGGCCGCTGCATGCCCAGGCCCACACCTGTTGTGTTTTTTGAGACAGGGTTTTTCTATCTAATTCAGACGGTCCTGGTCTTAAACTCGTGGCGATTCTCCTGTCTCAGCCTCCCAAGTACTGAGATTATAGACAGGTGCCACCACACCCACCTCCCAGTCTTTTCTTTTGAGACAGGATCCTGTTAAATTTCCTGGGTTGGCCTTGAACTAGCCATCCTGCTGCCCTGGTTTGTCAGTCTGCCAAGATCAAAGGCATGCCGCTAGGCTCAACACCTTTGCACCTGCAGCTGGGGGCTGGCTCGGGAGAGGTCTCATCCTGGCTCTGCCTGGAGTGGGCTCTGAAAGCCCAGAGTGTCACTGTCCCTTTGTTCAGCCAAGGCTGTGGCGGTATTGTGAGCCACAGAGGGGCCGGTGAGCTTTGCAAAGCGCCTCAGGGTCAGTGTGGAGAAAGGAAGCGCTGGCCTTGCCCCTCTGCCTTCCCTCCGGGCAATGGTGGGAGCTTACCTGCTCTGGGCCCTGGGCCGGGGTCACCGGGGCCCTCGCTCCCCTCACCCTGCGGCACGGGTGCCGCTCAGGTCGGCTGTAGCGTCCGGGGTCGCCCAGGCTTTGGGTGACGGCCCCACTCTCAGCTCTTCGCTTTCAGCTCCGGGAGTACAAGGTGGTGGGGCGCTGCCTGCCCACCCCAAAGTGCCACACGCCGCCCCTCTACCGCATGCGGATCTTCGCACCCAACCGCGTCGTGGCCAAGTCCCGCTTCTGGTACTTCGTGTCCCAGCTGAAGAAGATGAAGAAATCCTCAGGGGAGATCGTCTACTGCGGACAGGTGGGGGCTGCAGCGGCCTGGGGGGAGGGGGCCTGGCACCTGGGCAGGCGCAGCATGGGGAGCAGCCCCGCACAGCAGGGTAGCATGCTCCTCAAGGAGACCTGTAGGTGCGGGGCTGGGTCCCGGGCTGCCGCCCAGCGTCCCCCCGCTGTCCTCCATGCCAGGTGTTTGAGAAGTCTCCCCTGCGGGTGAAGAACTTCGGCATCTGGCTGCGCTACGACTCCCGCAGCGGCACCCACAACATGTACCGGGAGTACCGCGACCTGACCACGGCGGGCGCCGTCACCCAGTGCTGTAAGCAGCGAGGCCGGCGGCGGGCGAGGGGCTCCTCGGGGTCCGGGCTCCGCACGCCCCCGCGCCGGGCTCCTTCCCACTCGCACCTCAACCCAAGAATCGCTGCTGCTTGTAGTGGCGGTTTAAACAGGGGTGCGCACAGCAAGGGGATCTCGTCGCCTTTGGAGGGCTGTGGCCGTGCCCATCAAAGTGAATCTGGAGGTCCTACACCCCTCGTGGCCAGCGTCCCTGAGCCCCACGCCGGGGTCCGGCTGGGGCCGCCTCCCTGAGCACCCTGTCCCCCGCCCCCCACAGACCGGGACATGGGCGCCCGGCACCGTGCCCGCGCCCACTCCATCCAGATCATGAAGGTGGAGGAGATCGCGGCCAGCAAGTGCCGCCGGCCCGCTGTCAAGCAGTTCCACGTGAGTGCTGCTGACGCAGGCCCCAGGCGGGGGGTGCGGCTGCCACGCCCGGGTGAGCCCCAGAGCACCGGCCCGGGCCCTCACCCCTGTCCCCCCACAGGACTCCAAGATCAAGTTCCCGCTGCCCCACCGGGTCCTGCGTCGCCAGCACAAGCCCCGCTTCACCACCAAGAGGCCCAACACCTTCTTCTAGGGGCGGCCACGGCTGTGCCAATAAACTCGGCGCCGCTCTTGCACCTGGCTGGGCTGCTGTTTTCTTTCGGTCCCGCGGAGCTCAGCAGGGGGTCCAGGAGGCTGGGGCACCGCTCCTTCCTGCAGGGCTCGCAGAGGAATGGTCCTGCTGCCGAACAGCTTTGTCCCAGGGCCCCCTTCGGGTCAGCACCCCAGCTGTGCGGGGCTGCTGCCCTAATCCATGTAAGGAGCTTAGGGCCTGTGCTCAGTGCCGTCTCCAGGAAACCTGAGAATTCCAGCACCAGCTAATCCCACCCTGCTGGGCTCTGGGGGCTCTGCAAGCTGTCTGCGGGGCAGCAGCCGGCTTGAAGAAGGCCGCCTAGGCACACTGGGGTCAGGCACAGCGTCCCCGTAACGGCCGAGAGCTTTGGGTTGGGAGGTTGGAGAGGTGAGCTGGTGTCCACAGCCAGGTACACCCGCTCCAGGGTGGGGCACAGGGCCAGAGTCCGAGGGTTGCTCCTGGGGAGGCCGGGGACAGGGCTGTCTACTGCCACTGCCCGTGCAGCCCTTCCAGTACGGGTGGCACTGCCAGGTGCCCGGAGGATGGACGCCCACCATCCCTTCCTGGCCCTGAGCAGAGCTTGGGGGCTGAGATCTTCCAGGGCTCCGGCTTGTTCACGGCAGGAAGCCTGGTGTTCTGCGCCCTTCCTTCAGCCTGGTGCTGGACCGGCCCCTCCAAAGAACCTGGTGTGGAAGGTTTCAGTTCCATCGTGGTTCCACAGAAAATTTTTCCTTGTCACTTTTAATTTTGTGGATTCGGGCACAAACATCTAACTGCCCTACGTATAGCACTTACCTTCATTGTCAGCAGTAGCTTATAGTTAGATGCCTCCCAGGAATAAAACACATTTCCCAGCCATGTTTACAGGGTGGCCTGTGACACCAGCAGCAATTATAGGTGCCATTTGTAGAGGAAACACTGGACCCATCTGGTTGGAGTGTGGATGCAACGGCTAGTGCTCTGGCAGCTGTCTTGTGCCAGGAGGAAATAATATTAGAGCACCCAAAGGAAGGGGTTTGGGAACCTGACCCTGTGAGTGCCACCACCTCCCATCCCCTGGGCTCAAAACCTTGTATGAGACTTGCAACTGTAATCCAGGCCTTGTGTGTTAGATCTTTCACCCAGAGTGGGTGTGGTGCTGTGTGACTCAGGCTTGATAGCTGTGGGAGAGCCCCTGGTGCCCAGCACCAGGGAGGCCGGGTGGACCCCTGCCCTCTGTCTTGCCCTCTAGCTGGCCGAGCAGTGCATCCAGCACCTCCAGTTGAACACTCTCAGCCGTCCATCCACACTCGGCTTCCAGCCCTAGATCTCTGCTCTCCCTGCCTTGCCACCCATGAGCCGTCACTTCAGCCACAAACACAGTGGCTGGAACTTGAGATCCTCTTGCCTCAGCCTCCCAAGCAGTTGAGATCACAGTTGTGCGCTGTCACTCCTGAGCCTGCTGCAGAGGCTTGTGTCACTTCAGAGCGAAAGGGAGGCGGCGCACAGACCTCGGGCTTTCCTTGGAGGCAGAAGTTGCACCCTGCTCCGAGCTGCAGGTGCTGGAGGACATTACCCCTCCCTCCCACGCAGCTGGGCACTGGGACCACAAAGTATCCTGTCAGGCCTGGATGCTGCCGGGGGCCAAGACCACTTCCGCGGCCTGGGGTCCCTTCCAAGTCACACACCGTCCCCAGGACCAGGCATGGGCAGGGTGGGGGCTCGGGCACAGAAACGCTGAGCGAGTCAGCCAGGGCAGCGGGGCCCTGTGCCCGGCACCACAGTTGTCAGGGCCTCGAAGAGAGGTGCCGGGGGACCTTTGGTTCCGTGACGGGTTCACAGCCCAGCGCAGGGTCCGCTGTCACTCTCTGCACCCAGGGCCACCGGAAGGTCACACTGAGCCACAGCAGCCACGAAGCCTTCACCTTAGCCCCGCAGGGCTTCAGGGCCCTTGGGTCCCCGGGTATCAGGTGGGGCAGGCGCGCTGACATGCTGGTTCCCTGCCCCTGCCGAGGCTGGAGTCCGGCACGTCACGGAAAGTGGGCTGGTTCTGCCTCGTCTCCTCCCGAGTTCCAGGAAGGGTTCCAAACCCGCCTCGTCCGCAGCTGGCTTTTTTCACGTGGCTCCTCCCTGGCTCCCGAGTCTGCAGTGGCTCCCCAGCACCCTCAGAGCCAGACCCAGGACTGTCCTGCCTGGACAGGCCCCGCGGCCTCCTGGGCTGTCCTGGCCGCTCCTCCAACTGCGCCCGGTTCGCTCCTCCCCACCCGCAGACCTTCACACTGGACATCTCCTGCCCCGAAGCGCCCTATCCTCAGTTCATTCTTTGTTTTGGTTTGGATTGTTGAGACGGGGCCTCGCTAGGTAACCCAGGGTGCCCTCGGGCTCCTGCCTCAGCCTCCCGAGTGCTGGGATGACAGGTGTGCGCGCGGGCAGCCTCTCAGCCCTTTCCCCACCTGCAGGTCTCACCTAGCAAGCTCCCCTCCCAAGGACCCACGGCGTCGCCCCACCCCACCGCACCAGGCTGTCGCGTCCCTGGTTGTGCCCTGGCCCGCCTGCCGGCGGCCGCGGCGGGAAGGCAGCCGCGCACCGCGGCCGACCGAGAGAAGGGTCATTCGCATTCCTCCGCGCCGCCCCGCGTGCGTTTGCGAGGTTCGAGTTAGTCCTGAAGGGGACCCCGTACCCGCCCTCTCCGGTGGCCGCGGTGTGGCCCAGCCGGGACAAGTGAGGACGGGAGTGGAGGGGAAGCGGGCGGCCCTGCAGCGAGGAGCTGCGCGCCCCTGAGGCGGAGCGGGCGGGAAGGGGCCCCAGGGCGCCCTTCAGCCCTCGGACCTTGGGAGCAGCGAACCCAGGAAGCTGGGGGCGCAGCCGGGGCCCGAGCCCCAGAGGCGACAGGGCCTAGGCTCCCGAACTTGCCTCCTCGGGGTCTCCAGGGACCCCAGCTCCCGGCCACCGACGGCCAGCGGGACGGCTCGCGACGACGCCCGGCTGCCAAAGCCGCCGCACGCGAACGGGGCTCAGCCTGTGCCCAGCGGCCCCTGGCGCCGGCCCGCCGCGTCTGCAGCGGGAAAGGAGGCCCGAGAGAAGCAAGAATCCCCCTCCTCCTCGGGTTCCCCTCTCAAGACCGGAGCCCCTCCGTCTGCCCCCGGCTGCGGCGCTGCCCCTCCCAGCTGCAGGCAGTCGGTCCGGGGTGCCACCCGGGGGCCCGCCCCCGCCCCTAGCGGATCCGCTGTCGTCCCGCGTACCCGGGCACAGTGGAGCCAAACCGCGCTCCCCGCCGGTCAGCAGGGCACGGGGCCAGGCGGCGGTCGGGAACAAGGACGGGGCGGGGCGGCCTGGCGCTGGCCCCTCGGCGGTGGCCACACGGTGGCCTCTCCCAGCCCGGCTGTCGCGGCCCGGAAAGGGTGCAGGTCGCGCCGCCTCTTGGTCTGGGGGCGGAGCC